AAAAAAAAAAAAAAAAAAAAAAAAAAAGCCATGAATAGCATGCCATATCAAAACATAAAAGAGCTTCCTGATTTTAAGTTGTGTATATCAGTGGTTTTATTTTTTACTATTAACACAGGAACATTTGTTAGTAAAAACTACATTATTGTACTACATGACTTCATAGTATTTTCTCTTCCTGGACATACCATGATATAACTGCTTTCTTGTTTTATGTGTTTCATATGTTTCCAATTAAAAATGGTGCCATCTCTGCTCACATCCATGATTATTTCCTTAGGAAAATTCCTAGAAGTGGAATTGTGGTCTCAGAAGGTTTGAGAAATTCTAAAGCTTTTGAAACATAGTGCAAATTGCTCACCTGAAAGGTTGTACCAATTTACTATAGCATCATAAGAGAATGTCTGTTGTCTGCATCATTGCTACCTCAGGGTATTAAGATTTTTTAAAGTCTATTTCAATAGGTAAAAAATGGTATTTTACTATTGAATAAATATTTGTTTGGTTATTAGTGGAACTGAACCGTTTTTTAAGGTACATTGGATGCTGGGTGTGGTGACTCATGCCTATAATCCCATCACTTGGGAGGCTGAGGCAGGAAGATCACTGGGAGTTTGAGGCCAGCCTGAGCTACATAGTTCAAAGCCAGCCTGAACTACCTATCAAGACCCTGTCTTTAAAAAAAAAAAAAAAGAAGCTTTGAGATTGCTTACTGTTTTCCAGCATATAGTGGCATAAAGTTGATTGTTATATATTACATATGTAGAAACTTGTGTGTAGGTAAATTTAATTCACTTTTGTTTCTCTAATTCTTATATCCAGTTAAAAAGTACATGAAATAGCGATTCATGTATGTGTGACAGGTTAAGAAATTTCAAGCTTTAGTGAGATACCTTCTTAAATAATATAAAATTAAGGGCCAGGGATTTAGCTTAGAGGTTCGGTGGCCTGCCTTGCAAGCACAAGGACCTGAGTTCAATCCCCAGTACCAAAATAAACAAACAAACAAACAAATAAAATTAATCACCATTTAATGGTTTGAATGCTGACAAATAATTTTCAGTTACTAAAATAAAAGCTTTTGCTGGGCATGCTGGCACACACCTGCAGTCCCAGCACTTAGGAGGCTAAGGCAGGAGGATCACCATAAGTTTGAGGCCAGCCTGGACTACATAGTGAGTTCAAGGCCAGCCTGAACTACTTAGTGAGACCCTGTCTCAAAAATAAATAAAATGCAAGGTTTAAAACCATCTGTTTATTTTTTTCAGGAACTCTTGATCCTAGTTCCCCTTACACTATGGTGTCACCAAGTGGACGAGCAGGGAACTGGCCAGGGTCTCCTCAAGTGTCAGGTCCTTCACCAGCCACACGTTTACCTGGAATGTCACCAGCCAACCCATCACTACATTCTCCAGTTCCAGATGCTTCTCATTCCCCTCGAGCTGGAACAAGTGAGTGTCATCAGCATTTTTATGTTCTTAGTATAACTAACAAATGACCTGTTTTATCCCATCCTCACATTTGACAGTCATGACCCATTTGTTGAATGAGTGCCTAAAAATGTAAAATGTGTATCCATAGCATAAATCCATTAACAGTGTTAATTTGCAAAGTCATTTAAAATGTAAGAAAGAGAGGTATCTCCTGTAGTTTTATGAAGTGAGTCCCAGCAGCTCTCATGACCATTGACTTGTAGCTGCCATATTGGACCATAAAAGACTTTAAGTGACAAGGTTATGGAGATTAATGCAGAAGACAAGACTTGTACAAATACATTGTTAGCTTTCATTGCATAACTGAGTGCTTAAAACAACAATCAAATGTTAGCTGACAGTGCTGCAGTTTGGTAACCTCTGCTAGGCTCACTCTTGTGTCAGTGGTCAATTCCTGGGTTGGCCAGGGACTGGCTGGCCTAAGATAGCCTCAGCTGGCATGGCTTCCGTCTGTTCTCTGTGGTCTCATACTTGATTACGTGCTAGTTCATGGGGTTGGATGAAGTTCCAAGACAACAAGTACAAGTTTAGGCTTACAGTTAGCTCAGTGTCACTTCCATCACATTCTCTTGGCCAAAAGCAAGTCACAAGGTCAGCCAGATTCCAGGTGGATAAATGGACCCCCATCCCTTGAAGGATTTCCTGCATTGATTTGCAAGGGTCTTGGAGAAAAATTGTGGCTGATTTTGCTAAGAGAAAGTTTTAATATATAATTGTTCTTCCTCAAGGAGTAACCAAAATAGTGCAGATTGATAGAGAATACCAACAGTTTCTAAGAAAGTAAAACAGGGAAGAATGAGATAGTACGTATTTATAAATGAAATGGCATGTTTTTCTTCCCCCAAAGGTTCCCAAACAATGCCAACAAACATGCCTCCACCTCGTAAGCTACCTCAGCGCTCTTGGGCGGCATCCATACCAACCATCCTCACTCACAGTGCCTTGAACATTTTACTGCTGCCCTCGCCAACGCCAGGCCTTGTGCCTGGCCTGGCAGGGAGTTATCTTTGTTCCCCACTTGAGAGATTCCTTGGATCGGTCATCATGAGACGACACCTTCAAAGAATTATTCAACAAGAAACGGTATGGGTACCAAGTGACCTTCTAAGTGGTGATTATCAAAGGCAGAATGCTGAGTTGTCCTGCAGAATAGGATCTGAACTACAGTGGCACTCTCTCATCCCCTTTTGCCAGCTTGTTAGATTTAGACTTTCCTTCCTGCTCCAGCATTAAAAGTGGATGTCATTATTTCCTTTGCATTCTTAAGTCAGCATATTTTTGCATTTTATAGTCTACTGTGCTGTGGCTTCCATGTCTCCTGACTCATGTAGACTTGGAAATAAGTTACCACATCATATAGGACCAGTGTGCGTAGGATGTAGCCTTGCAGAGACTAGCACCTGAATAACCATTTGCCTTTGCAGGCAGAGGCTGCCTTCGAATGTGTCTGTTGGAGTAAAATTATTTACGATTGCAGGGGTGAAAACTCCTTTTTAAATACATAAACAATTGAATATATTTAAAACCCTTACAGAAAAGGACATCTAACCCATCCTATAATGATACTTTTAGGAAATAGTACAGGCCATACTGCCTGAAAGTAGTCACTTCGGGAGAATGTCTTCACCTTTCGGATAATGGTATCTACCTACCTACTAACAATTGTGGGAATTTGAGCTATTTGGTATAAAGTCCTTACCATAATGTCTTGGCACTCAGTAAACATTAGTTACAATTTTGTATTATTATCGATACAGTGTATTAATGAGGTAGTCAAAATGATAAAAGTTTAAAATATCCACTCCATGGTTGGCACAAAGCCATTCTGCAACCTTTATATTCAGATATGGGAAAAAATGGAAAGTTATAGCATAAGCTGAATAAATGAGCCTTGAAACCATTAATCATCAGACCAATGATCAGCCCTGCCACTTGCAATCCCAGCTTTCAGGTCTTTGAACTTCATTTTGCTCACCTCTATCAACTTCGTTGTTTTCCTTTTAAAACAATTCTCTCAGAGACATTCATTTTCTTTTTGTGTTACATGTTGACTCAAACCATTCTTCTTATTTTGCAGCTGCAGCTGATAAATTCCAATGAACCTGGAGTGATCATGTTTAAAACTGATGCACTAAAATGCAGAGTAGCCCTTAGTCCCAAAACCAACCAGACGCTTCAGCTAAAAGTGACACCTGAAAATGCAGGACAGTGGAAACCTGATGAACTTCAAGTTTTGGAGAAATTCTTTGAGACAAGAGTATGTGTATAATAATGCATGATTTTATTATGATTAGTGAAACGGAGATCGAAGTAGAAGGAAGAGTAACGTGTTTTATTTATCTTCATAGGTTGCAGGACCACCGTTTAAAGCCAATACATTAATAGCCTTCACCAAACTGTTAGGAGCACCTACACACATCCTCAGGGACTGTGTGCATATTATGAAGCTAGAGCTGGTAAGTTCCAGAGAAACGTGCACTTTTCTTGCAAGGTCTGTGTGGGGAAATTCAATTTGGTCGGAGCAGTGTTTCTTAGTTTTCATTCATTTATGTACTTTCTTCCATTTTTCTCTTAAATTTGGAATTTTTAACTTCAATTTTATTTATCTTTGACTAACTGGCACAATTCCATCCATCCAAAACAATATGATAGAGTGAGAAATTCCTCTCTGTCCCTATGCACCATCCTCTGTCCAACCAGAGTTCCCTGTAGCTTACCTCTCACTGCACAGGGTTTGTTCATAAAAGCCAGTACATGTCTTAAATATATTTTCTTTTAATGAAATGATTTGTACTTTTGGGGGGATACCAGGAATCAAACTCGGGTCCTTGCGCTTGCAAGGCAGGGGGCAGAACCACTGAGCTAAATTTCCGGCCTGATTTGTACTTTTTTGTTATGAAATCTTCTACATATATATAAACATATGGTGTTACAATTTAAAAAATCTGATTCCTCACTTTTGTTGGTTAAGATGGAAGTGCTGAGTCACAGATAGCAGATGCTGCAGGGGCAGCAGTCACCGCAGAGCACTAGATAGCAGCTCTTGCTCTGGTTTTGGCCTTTCAAGGATTTGCTCTGTTGTCTGCATAGTGCAGTCTCCATTTGTATTAGTTTTCTAGTGCTCCTGTAAGAAATTACCACAAACTGAATGGCTGACAAGAACAGCAATTTATTGTTTCACAATTCTGGAAGCTAGAAGATCTAAATCAAGCTGTCAGTGGGGCCATGCTGTCTCTGAAGGGTCTGGAGGAGAATCTCTTCAGTACCTTTCTATTAGCTCCTGGTGATTTCCAGGAGTCCTTGGTGTCCTTTGGCTTATATACCGATCATTGTATTTTCTGTCTCCCCATGTGCGTCTCTGCCTGTGTCTCTTTTCTTCTTATAAATGATAGCAGCTACGTTGAATTAGGATTTACCCTCATGAGCTCAACTTGATCTCATTGCAAGGACCCTGTTGTCAAGTGAGGTCCTGGGAATTAGGACTTCACATCTTTTTTAGGCACTTAATTCAACCTGTAACAGTACTTAAAAAGATGTCTCCCTACCTCCAAATATTTGTTAGTGTTTGTGGTGGAAGGCTATTGAGGTTGACTTAGTATTTGAAATGGAGGCGCATGTTGCTTAGTTCACTGAACGTTGGGAAATCTTTCCCCATCAGTACATAAAGGTCTTTGTGTTTTCCTTTTTGAACAAAGCCTTTATTTTTCTTTTTTAATTTAATTTTATTTTTTAGTACCAGGGATTGAACTCAGAACCTTGCTATTGTAAGGCAGACATGTTGCCGCTGAGCTAAATCCCTGGCAAAAGCCTTTGTTTCTTTATATGCATGTATTAAAATATCTAAGCAGTCTTCTCTTGATGGTCATTTTGGGGGTTTCTGATCTTTTGCTGTTACAAACAGGGCCACAAGAAAGAGCAGATGTGCCTATATATCTGTAGGATCCATTTTTAGAATTAATAGTTGAGTCAAAGGATATGTATGCTTATAATTTTGACAAGTATTGCCAAATTGTTCTCTGTGGAGATCATGCCAGCTTATATTCCCACTAGTAATTTATGAGAGTACCTGCTTTTCCACACCCTTGTCAATAACTATATCAGTCTTTAGATTTTGGAACTTTCTCTTACTGATGTGTAGACGCTCTGTCCATATTACAGAGTTAGCCCCTTGAGATATTACCTGTAATGTTTTAAAAAAATTATTTATGTATTTATTTATTTTGCTGTGCTGGGGATGGAACCCGGGGCCTTGTGCTTGCCAAGAAAGTGTTCTATCACTGAGCTATACCCCTGGCCCTGTTGTAAATATTTTTTCCTAATTTTACATTTGTACTTTTGGTAGGTTTAATGATTTTCTTTTTTTGATACACGGTTTCGCTATGTAGTTGAGGCTGGCCTTGAACTCACTTTTTAGCTGTGACTGGGTTCAGATTCACTGGTGATCCTCTTACCTCAGCCTGAGTGCTGTAAACATAGGTGTGCGCCACCATACCTGGCAGTTCAGCTATTTTCTTAACAATCATGTAAATGGAATCCAGATGGCAGCTGATGATAATTTTTCAGTCTACTCCTTTCATTTTAGTGTTTCTAGCATTGCTTTGAGTAACCCCATTACAACACTCCTTCTTTTAGTTGGTGTTTTACTATTGGGGAAACAATATTTTTTTGCTAGTAGTCTTAACGTTTGGCTTCTGATCTAATAGGCTGTAGCAAACATTGTGTCAGAAAGAAATCTTTGGGATTTTAAAGGAGCAAATATTTATGTGTCTAAAGTGCCAAGTGGATATAATTGAAACTCATTAACACAGTTTGACTAGTTTAGGGAAAGAGTTGGAAAAAGGACTGGAAAGTCTAGATTAACCAGTTAAGAAAGGCCTTGACTGCCAGGTGTTTATCTTCCTTGTTGGGGTGTGGAGGAGAGGGGCAGTGCGTGTCACGGAATGTCCCTGGACATTTGCAAGCTTGAGGGAACTAGCAATAGTGTAAGAGTGGATTAGGAGAGGCAGCTGCTGGAAGGGACTGCTGCGGGAGAAGTGACGAAGCCCCGAGCTTGGTGACCTCTGAAAATAAGTGAGGCGATAGGCGTCAGAGACACTGCAGAAGCCAAACCCATAGGCCTTGCAAGTTAGTGAAGTGGAGGGAAGGGAGGGGGACATACTACATAAATTCAGTGTTGACTTTCAGTTACTTTATGCCTATATTTCTTTGAGAAAAGATTATTGTCATTATGTTGTGTTAATAATTAGGTGTAAAATGAAATTCTGACCTTTCAGACTCCAATACTAGAATATGATTTTACGTGTTTGTGTATATGACTTTATGATGGTTTTTCCTTTTTTTTCACCGAAACAGTTCCCTGACCAGGCAACACAGCTAAAATGGAACGTTCAGTTTTGCCTGACGATCCCTCCCAGTGCACCACCAATTGCACCTCCTGGGACGCCTGCTGTGGTGCTGAAATCCAAAATGCTATTTTTTGTAAGTACCATCCGGCACCTCTGTATAGGTAGAGCCATTGAGGAGAAAGCCATGTGAGAGTAATAGAGCAGCTTTCAGATAACTGCATAAATTATTCATTGCTGCCAAAGATAGACCCAATTCCTTAAATGTCAGTTTAGACTTCATGGAATATTGGTTCCTTTAGTAATAATAGAAATTTATTGAACTAAGAAACTGTAGCACAGTTGCATTTTAAATGTAATATTCAGTTGTTTGTCACTTGTCATATTTAATTTTCTTTTGCCTGCTGAATCTGAAAGTATAGTAAATGATACTACCTATGAAAAATTTACACAGATATTTTATTTTCTTAATGTTTCTGTTCTCTTTGTGTGTCTACAGCTTCAACTAACTCAGAAAACATCGGTCCCTCCCCAAGAACCTGTTAGTATTATAGTTCCAATCATTTATGACATGGCTTCAGGTACAACCCAGCAGGCAGACATTCCCAGACAGCAGAACTCTTCTGTTGCTGCTCCCATGATGGTCAGCAGCATTCTGAAGAGGTTTGCAGAGATGAATCCACCACGACAAGGTACATGACCAGTAGACAATGTTTTTTATTGCATATATGTTCTAGAAGTTCTTTTGAGGGATACCTCCTTCTATTCTCTTCCCCCTTTACCCACCCCACTCCCAATCCTAATAATAGAGCTCTGGTTGCTGTGGCCCTCTTAATGTCTGCCTGTCACTCTCTTCCTTTCTGGTTATTTATTTTTGTCCATTTCTCTGCTGCCTGGATTTTATTTTCCTTAGTGATTTACTATTGGGACTGACCCAGTTGCTAATGCCAGAAGCTTGTATTTATAGCACACATTGATTGCCACAAAGCCTGAGGTTAGGATGATAGAATTTTCCATGGCTGTGAATTCCTGCCCTACCATCAGTACCTGCCACTCTGTACATCACAAAGTTGGAATGCATGTTGGTTTCTCATATTTCATGGTTCAATCATGAATAGAATACTATCATTAAAAGTTCTGTATCTTCTAAATGTTTTGTGAAGAATAAAAGCTGATACAAATGGCATCACTGCTTTTTGGGCTTCTTATATAAGTGTCAGGCGGGTGCAAGTGAAACTTTTCACCAAGTGCACAATGAATGAAGCTCTCAAACAACATTTCCCAGGAAACCAGAGTGCTTGCAGAAAGATAAATGAAGTCCCTTTGATAATGGAGTAGCCTACGCTTAACACGCAACTCCTGGCCATGCTAAGTTTGGGGTTACAAAATAAAGCTCACCCAAGAGAACTTTTCTTCCATTTTGCTCATTTCTAATATTAACAAATTAAATTTAAATTAAAATTTTGCTTATTTCTAACCTTAAGGAAGTCCTCTCTGTTTAGAATAGTTTGATAACAGAATTATGGTAAACGAGGGAAAGTTGTTCTCTGAAACATTTTTAGGTACCACAGTGTCAGAGTCATGAGAATTGATTATTTAAGCTACTTGTTTCCCAGTATTGTACAGAAATGATTTCTCACTTTAGTTTATAAGGAATACACTGGGCAGTAGAGAACAGTATGCTTTTGTTGTGATACTTCTTACAAATTTCTGCTTTCATCCTTTGACTTCTCTCTTCTTTCAGCTAAAAGTAGGTCCTCAAGTATCAAAGTTTAAAGCTATCAGAATTCTCAAAGTAGCAGTCCAGTAGAACTTTTGATAATCATTCCTTCAAAAGCAATTGACCATCTTACATGTTTTATGTATTATGTCTCGTGGAATTTAAAGTTAAAGGAAAATGTTTTGATCCTATTGGGATCAAGCTTTCCTACCTTATCAATGGAAATATTTTTTTTAAATGCATATGTCACTTTCTTTTATTTAAGAAATTGGTCAGCTATTTTAGAAGTGTTTTTCTTTTTCTCCCCCTTTGGATGGACAAGCATTTAGATTTCCTTTTCTTTCTGGACCTTGATTTTCCAGTGGCTGGAGAGAAGGTTGGTAGCAATTTACACAGGGTCACTGCACATCCTGCCCTGCCAGATTCACATGAGTGTTCAGTTCTCCCACCTTCAACCATGTAGTGTCAGGCTGTGATCTGGTGAAAAGGACCCAGCTTTGGGTGGATAATATTTAAATATTTGTATTATTTATAAGAAGTGAGAGGCAAAAGGGAAATAGAGACCATTTCCCCCCAGCAGATCTTATTTTTGGATTGTTGGTCTACAATACTTGGGCTTCCCTGCCCTCCTCCTCCATGTACCCATCACTTCTTCCAGGGTGAAGAGCTTTGAAGAAAAATCACTTTATGAATTCTAGAAGTTGGCTATTTCCTTGAAATGTGGTAGAAATCTCCAGTAGATGTCATAGACCTGCACTGTCCAAGATAACTGCCACTAGCCAGATGTGGCTAATTAAGTTAAACTAAGATCTAGATTCAGCATCACAGTCACATGACCTACATTACACGTGTTCAGTGGCCACATTGCATATGTATGTGTCTGTTAATCACGGGAAGTTCTCTTGGGCAGTACTGTCATAGACATTTTTATCTAGCCGTTCGTGCAACATTAGGACATCACTGAAGTTGTAATATATTAACTAGATATTTTCATTAGATCCAAAACGCACAAGGAGTCAGTAGCCTTAACCTTTCAACATAAAGCTTAACTTTACAGGCTTATCTAATAAAACATTGTTTCTCTAAAACCCCTGGCATATCTTCTTAAAATTAGTCTAACTGGGACTCAGAATATTTTCCTGAGGAGGGGGAAAAACAAAACAACCCAAGCGAAATATAATCTGATATTTCACACAGCTCCAACCCCCTTGAACTCTGAACAGTTAAAATCCAGTCTTTTATTTTGATCTTTAAAGTTCTTACTAATTTCAGGTTTAATTCCCCTCCCCTTGCCAGTGTGTTAACATCATCTTTCCTGTATTGCGAATAGCTAATGACCATTTTTCTCTGTTGCAGGTGAATGCACAATATTTGCAGCTGTTCGTGATTTAATGGCTAATCTTACACTGCCCCCTGGTGGGCGTCCATAGATACTATTGTTTTTAAACCAGGAAGGCTGACAAATGAGACAAAACAACCAAAAAAAGTCTGAATTCAGCCTTCAGTTTAAAAAAGGAAAAGGACTTTTTTTGATTTTAGGAACTAACTATTCTAAACTGGCAAAAAATTTCAGGGTGCACTTCTTTCATCAGAATCATCAGTCTTTTGTATAGTGAACTTGTATAGTGTGTTTAAATGGGACACGTTTCAAACTAGGTAATTTATCAGTGTCCACTTGCCAGTAATAGAGTTAATATTCTGTTTTATACTATAAAGCTATGAAATTGCCAAACTTGTTTATTTAATTGTTTTCTTATGTTTTGGGTGTAATAGTCCTTTTTTATTTTTGTTTTGTTTTTTAAGGCAGGTCTGTCATTTTTGAATACTGTAAAACTGTGATAAACTTTATATTGAAGCTGTATTTTAATATGACCGCTTTGAATCCTTACATGAAAATGTTCTGGGAGTTGTTATAAACACATCCCAAAGAAGCAATATTTAATAAAACTAGGTTAAAAAAAAAGACACTTACTGTGTGTGTATAAGCTCTCTAGACTTCTTAGGGCCTCCCTTCATCTTTAACCTGGTGGTGGGTCCAATAATTAATCTTTAATAATACGTGTCTGAAATTTGACCAAAAGATCTTGTTTGTTTCAAGCTAATTTATTTCTTCAAACATTCCTAACTTAACTGGTAGTAACATTTAGCACCATGGCTGTCTTTCAGTGTAGCACTGGGGTACAAAATAATCTAGTCCAGTGATGGCGAACCTTTTAGAGCTTTCAGTGATAACAAACCGCCCTCTGTGGCACATGTGCCATACGTTCACCACCACTGGTCTAGTCTTTGAGAACAGAAAGTGATTTATACTAAAAGGATCCCAAATAATACAACCGTTCTCATCTGTTGAGGATATGGGAACTTTTCTCTTAGGCAAATTTTATGTACAGGATACTTCTGCATACAGCATTAACTAGGACACAAAGAACTTTAGTGCTCTACCTTTGCATGAAGTTTCTGTGATATTTCTTTATCTCACTTCACTTTTTCTTGCCTTCCCTAACAAAATTGAAGTTGTTCAGTCTCAATTTAATTTGTTGTCAACAGAATGATAGAAAGGTTTACTTGGAAGAAATGTGGTCCAGTCATTTTGAAGAGTCCAAGCTTCAGGCCTGTCCAGAGTCCATTGGAGTGTTGGGGACTGACACATCTCAGCAGGGTTTCTTTTTTGGAGCACTGTACTGTTTCTCCCAGTCAGGGACTTTTTGAGCTTCAAAGAACATGATCTGAAGCAAAGATCTTCTGGTGACTTGATGTTATTTGGAAAAGATTTTAAAATAATACACCATTTTGAGTTATCTGGACACTAACACTGGCTCACCGTTAATTTTAGATGTTTTGTCTAATTCCACTTTAAGATAATTTAATTGGGTTTCTGTAACCACCAAATTCTAGTTTCAAGCATCCTACTGCAAACAGCACATCCTGCTCTCAACTTTGCTTGATTTCCCCATTCACATCTGGTCAGAGGTGAGGCCTTCTTTGTCTTTCTTCTCTGTCTTATTTCTGCCTTCATCTCCTGCTTCTCACCCAATTCTGTTACTAGTCATGGGCAGGTTTATCCTTTCTTTAACTTACTTTTGTATCTTTCCATTTTCAGTCGCCTTACAGTGGTACTCACACAGATTTGGCAATCTAAAATGTCTTTATCAAGTGTCAGCCCTTTTTGTTTGGTGCTGAACCCCTTCTTTTGTGTAGAAATCTACATGTCATATACAAGGAGAGTATTTTTATCTGCAGAATAATATTGTTTCAAATAATTTTATAAACAGGCTTTCCAAGTATTTTTTTCTTTTAAGTGTGGTTTTAAAATGTTAATTGCATTTTTATGCATAATGCATTCAATGGGCACTTGTTCCCTAATTATGACTTGTCTCTGAATGCATTGTGCAAATCAAAACATAGGAACAGAATTTGCTTATTTGATGCTTATTAAGAGTAAACCCATGAATTTGAATTTTAATATCATGCTTGGTACTTGGAAGTAATACATACTTCATTAAAGCTTGACACCATTTGGAATTTGAATTGTAAGTTTCATCACAAACCACGTCTTTTGCCTCTTTTGTTACCTAGGTTCAAAGAGACTGGATGCCCATAGCGATTTTCCCCAGTAGGTGATTTGGGACTTGTAGGTGTTTTTAGTGTGATTTTAGTATTTACAGTAATGAATAAATTTTATACAAGTTTCAGAGAACCACCAACTTTCTCAGTTAATTTTGGTGAAGATGTTTTGTAGTCTGGTTTAGCATTAGTTTAGCCTTGAAAGAAGGAATTGGTCCTGGTTGCCACTGTCTTTTTTCCATCTACTGAAATGCTGTTTTAAAACGTGGAAGTGCTTTTAGAATTAGGAAGGAAGGCCTGAGGATTTGGTTCAGTGGTTTCACCACCTGCCTCGAAATCATAGGGGCCTGAGTTTGATCCCCAGTACCGGAAAAAAGAAAAAAAGAAAAGAAAAGAATTAGGAAGGACAGTGAAAACTCCCAACAGATATATCAAGTTATTGATAGGAGCTGAACTTTATGCTTGAAAACTGAGCTGAAGGAAAGCATAAACTAAAATATGCATGATTTTGAATGTAAATACCACTAACAACTTTACTTTGTTGAAATTAATACAGCAACTTGTTCACCTGCAGGATGCTAACAGTCATTCTCTGCACTGTGGTCAAACTGGTAATTTCAAGAAGTATACTTGGAACTTTGCTACTCTGAATTCTGATACAGTTTCAATGTAAAAGTTGTTTCACGTTTTTTGTTTCCCCAAAGAAATACCCATTACAAAAAAATTTTTTTTGAAAGAAATGAGGTCTTGTTGTATTACCCAGGCTGGCCTTGAGTCCCTGGGCTCAAGCAGTCTCCTTGCCTCAGCTTCCTGAAGATCTGTAACTACAGGTGTATGTTACTAAACCAGGCTTCAAATGTTCTTGATAGGATATTAATGTACTGAAAATTTTAAGAGAACTTACCTTCAAGGGGTAGAAAGGAAAAATGTTAATGTAGGTTCATTGTTTCCTGTGGAGTTTTCTTTTTCATTGGACGTGATGGAATGGACAGGGTGTCAAAGGGTATGATTTGAATTCCCTTAGGATGGATTTAGCATTGAGGGTTTAAAGATTATTAGAAGCCAGCCAGTCCTGCTGCACATCTTCAGGAACACCATGATCTCACAATTTTCTATGAATACCCCCACTTCCAAGTGGTCAGTGATTTGTTCAGATCCCTTGCCCAGGAATTTAAGTGATTGATGAAATCACTTTTTATTTAGGTCAATGTAAAATAATAGCTAATAATTACTATGTGCCAGGTACTGCTCTAAGCGTTTGCAATGTGTGTCTAATGCCCCCAACCACCCTATAAGGGAGTATGAATGCCCTCCTTTTACAGATAAGTGGAGGTCCAGAGGAATGAAGTAATTTGCTTGGGATGAAGTTAGGATTGCTTACAATCAAATTAAGAAGAGGCAGTTTGAGTGCAGAGCTAGTGCTTCCGAACATGAACCAAACAGGGAAGGCTTCATTGTTTGCATTCTTCCCTCAAAACCTTTTGCCTGACTACACGTTTTCCAAGCTCAAGCAACTCACTAAAAGGAGCTAAACCCGACACGACTTCTTGTCACTTGGAGTTGACAATCGAATACCTCTGACCTTCACTTGGCAATTTCAGTCACACTGCCTTTGCGGTCTAAATGATTGCCTGACCTCCCCCGCGCCATGCTTTGGGATGCGCTTAGCTGGTTTGAGACAAGCTCTCCAGAACCCCGGAAGCGCGTCGCCCTGTGTGCCTCTGCCAGGCAGCCCAGTGATGGAGTTTTTGAGCTTTGTGTCAGCCTGGCACACCGCCGACGCATGATACATGCACGGTGCAGGCAGCCAGCGGTCACATTTCACCAATGCCTAGATTTGCTACAGCCTGTCCGCGGATTTAGGAACGCGTTAACTATATTTGAGTATTGCACAAGGCAAGGAATATACGTAATCCAAGAAATGTCCCTTGAGCACTAAGTCCCTACAATAAAGATCATCGGGAGTCCCTACATCAAGGAGAGGGAGTTGAGTTGGGGGGCGGGGTTAGGGTCTCAGTCTGGGGAACGTGCCGAGGACAATAGGGTTTCAGGCTGTGGCTCTCAGGACGAGCACAAAAGCCCTGAAGCACAGCTCTCACGCAAAATGGGGCGGGGTTGACATCTCGTGGAAACGAAGCCGCCTTGCCCCTGGGTGACGTGGGAGACGCTGCGTCCCGCCTTGCCCCTGGATGACGCTGCATCCCGCCCTCAGCCTCGGGCCTGCGCGTTGGCCGCCTCTAGGCGGGTCCGCG